CGGTGATGGAGGTGTAGGGTTCGGTGGTTTTCGGTCAAGTTTCGGTTCAGTTCTGTGGTAAAAATAAATTCCTAATCCTCCTTTTATAGGCTTCCGGCTAAACCCTACTCCTTGAAGAACAAGAAAACTTGTTTCCCAATTAATATCGGGATTAAAATTCTTATCCAATTCCAATCCCAAATCGGCCGCACATTCATCGTAACCTTCGGCTAATTTTCCAAAAATTAAAATCAAATTCCAAAATTGCATCATTGGCCCTCCAATTCTCTAAACTCATTAATTTTTTCCCCATCAATTGCTCCAATCTTCAATTCTTTCCCATTGAGTTGCTTTTAATTCGATTTTAGCTCAAAACTTCAACAATTCTTCATTTGAGTACAATTCCTACAAATAAAGATAAAATCACATAAATAGCATATTTGTACTCAAAATATATTGCAAAAATCACAAATTAGGGATATAATAAATAGGTAAAATATAAGCATATCACCTGTTGTTGTTGTTACTCTTCTTCTGCATCGTCGTCATCAGTTTCATCCGCCACAGATGTTTCATACTCACTTTCTTCTTCGCTTTCAATATAAGTACCATCTGATTCATCATCCCGATCCGAATCACGTCCATCATTTTTATCTCTGCCTTGAGCCTCGGTAACGAATTGATCCTCGCTGCTCCTGCTTGGCCCTGCTTCTGCATTTTGTTGAGAAGTACTCGCCCAATGTGATTGTGACCAAAATATGTTCGGTCCTCCTTCTATATATTGATAGAAAGTACTGCCCCATTGTTGTTGGGACGCAAAAAAACCCCTCGTTTGTCCAGAAAGATCCAGTAAACTTTGGGCATGAACTGTCCCTTCATTTTCCACATACAGATCCAAATTTGATGATCCAAAAAAATAATAAATAATTTCCAAAGACGAGTCATCAGTGATTGTCGCGGTCCTTCTAATACCGTTAATTTCAAACAACAAGGTAATTCTCAAATTCACAGAATATCTATCCCATCCGGCTTTATCACAAATTCTGCCCAAAAACTCAAAATATGACAATTTCCGTTCAATAAACAATGTGCCATCTGCTCTGTTATCAAATGTTCTAATCGTACCATCCTCTATAACATACTTACTTCTCCAATATACATTAATAAAATACGGACCATTCCACTTCATTTTCTCCTGTTTATGTAATAATCCATAATAAATTAATGTAATTAACAATGACATTAAAATCAACTAAACACGACCCTAAAAATCTTAATAAAAATATATACAAAAAAAATTATTCCATATAACATATATGATTACTGATTTCGTAAATCATCTCACCATTAAATATAATTACACTAATTCAAACAATTGAAAAAAAATAATAAACGAAATAACACGTAATAAATAAGATTAAATCATTACTAACCTTCTTAATGATGTAAATGTGGCATAAAAAACAAGCTAAAGCTGCACTTCCTTCTCCAAAACACAGTAGATTTGTATCTTTTCCTTCAGATTCAAAACTGTCAAACGAGTAAACAGTGAAATTGTTCAATTATAAATGAAGAATAAAACGGAATTTGAAGTTTCGTTTTTACTGATAAAGCATGGTCCGACCGGTCCCTCTCACAGTGCGTCAGTGTCACCACAATTATTGTTCTGCACATTCAAAATTATAAACGGATTTTGGATTTACGGTTTTTTACACAAAAAACGGAATTTGGATTTCCGTTTTTGTTCATCACAATTATTTAGGTTCCATTTGAAAAACGGAATTCCAATTTCCATTTTTAACTTTTTTTTTTTTGCGTCGAAATTGATTTTCCCTTTTTCGTCGATATTATTCGCACAAATTTTATAATTTATTAATGGAATAAATAAAAACGGAAATCGGATTGTCGTTTTATTAATGAGAATTAGTAAAACGGAAAACTAATTTCCGGTATAGTTAGATTCTGACCACAAAAAAAAATATATATATATATTTATATGTCTTGTCTATTTTTTAAACTAATATTCTTGTCCAACACCCGGTAGTTCCTAAATATTTATGGCTATTTTCCTTTTGACATCTCTAAGGTTAGTAAATCAAACATCAGCCACCAAATTTTTTGTAAACATCAGCCACCAAATTTTTGTAATTTCTTCAAGGAATACTGGAAGCAAATTAGTTATTAGTCAGCTGAAACCCCCCCCCCCACAACTTTTGCACTGTTACCTTGAAAGCCGCTGACTTTGTCCAATTTCCCCTGAAAAATTAAATGCTACGTCTTCCATCAATTAGGTCAAACGGAAAACTCGAGAAAAAGAAACAAATGAACAGAAAAAACAGTTACTCAAAACCCCTTTATAAATACTTCAATCACATTCCATTACCAAAACATCCACAGTTCAGATTGCAAATCCTTGAAATTTTTTTTTCTTGAGCTCAACAGCATTTCGAGCCCTTTTTTATTTTTTATTTTCTCCCTCTTTTGAGCTCAATAGCATTTCGAGCCACTGAGGCAAAAGTAAAATAAATAAATAAAAAAAAGCACAAGTTTAAAAAAATGGCAAGATTTGCAATCTCTTTGTTGGCCCTGTTTCTTGTGGCATCACTAGTGTCAGCCACAACAATTGAGGAGTTGTGCAAAGGTACTGTCGATGCCGGTTATTGTGTAAGGTTGCTTAAACCGACTGTTATGCCATCCACGGATTTCAAATCCGAAGAATGGCGCAACAAGGTCGTCAACAGGGTTCTGATTAGGGCTTTGATGGCGAGGAACTTTATGATCGACAAAGGCTACAAGGTGATGGAACCGGAGGCGGATAACTTGAGGTTTTGCATCCGTAAGGTTGCGAAAAGCGCGAAACTGATTAAACAAGGTGATTTCGATGGGGCTGCAGCTATGCAGAAAGCTTGCTATGACCGTCTAAAAAATGCAAACGGTATCATGAACGACATTAGGCAAAGAGCTGATGAGGCCGCTCTTGCTTCTAGGGTTGCCAATGATATCCTTGCGGTAAAAAAAACAAAATCCAGAAATTGTCCCAAAAGTGAAGGGAAAAAAAAGAAAAGAACAAACGATTTACCCTTGAGATATTTTAGTTGAGGACCTACCTTTGGGTTGAAATTCTCGGGGTTTTTCTTGTTAGATTTTTTGTAATTTTTTTTTTAAGGTTAGGGTTTTTTTTTTTTTGTGATTTTGGTAAGGAATGATAGCTCTTTATGTAGTCTACTACTACATATAGAGATATGTGTGTCAGAGTTTAAAGTTCTTGACACTACTGAATGAATAACAATTTTACTGAGAGATATGTGTATTGCTTTTCATTTCATTTCTTCTGCTTTCTACATATTTCGCTAGTTGTTGTTGCAAAGCTCCTTCAAATTAAGGCATATTTCTTACTGATCATAGGCAATAAAATTCTGGTAATCATTGACAGAGGAAGGGGGACAAGTGATGCCGTGGTGGCAATTGCCTCCTCTCTGTTTTTTTTTTTTTTTTAAAAAAAATTTTTAGTGCTAGAGTAGAGAGTATCGATTTTTATATTGATGATGAAACTATAAAAAAAAAAAAGAAGAAATGATAATAAATGACTAATTTCATAACTAGATATTTCAATATGCCAAAGATGCTCATGTTGAGAGATTACATATGAGAAAACTCTATTAAAATGTCATTTGGTCGGGAGGACTATGTTCATCCCAAGGATGGTTGTTGATTATATTAGCTTGTTTTAATTGCAGCTAAAGTTCTTTCAAAATGAAGTACTTAAAGGTTTTGTTAATCAAAATATAATACTACTGTTAAAATGCAAAAAGTAATCGTCCCTCATTTTAGCGCGTCTAAATTTATTTTCTTGAACTTCTCAGAAAGAATTTTTGTAGTTTCTCTTTATATTACTGTAGATGGTAGTGATCGAAGTTTTAAATTTGAGATCATTTGCCTCCTTAAATTAAAATTTACCAGTATTAAATAGAGATATTGATAGCATTTATGGTAATTGTTAATTTGGTTTTTGATTGCCATCAGATATAAGACATTAGTTTGAGCTTGACATGTGTTTATTTGAAATTATTCGTAGTGATACATAGAAAGGGAAAAAAAAAAAGTTTATAACAGAATGTGATATAAATAAAGAAACACGGACACAGATCACAAATTCAGGTATAATATTATATAAGTATTAGCCCAAAAAAAAAAAAAAAGAATAATGATAGAAATTTTCATATCATCATCTCATCCTTTCATTGTTGTTTGCAATTCATGATATGTCGTCGACTCTTGAAACCAACTAGGGGTGACAACAATGGTATGAGTGACTCCCATTTTTTTTATAATTATAATAATTTGCATGATTATTAACGGACAGATTGATTGACCACTTAAATATTTGATGTGATTTAATTAGTTTGTAGATTACTGAGGATGTGGTCCCTTTATTCTTTCATGCAACGCATCTTTTGAAAGCAAATTCCACAAAACGGAGTATATGACAACATCTCTAGCCGGCATGAATAGATCAATCACCTACTCTTTCAAAAAAATTTCAACTAATTAGCTCATTTCTGTGTGAGAATCTTCTTACATCATCAATATTATTGTTGATTTCCATGTTAATTACTACATTTATATTTATAGAACATGGACTCCGTTAGAAATAATTTAACTAAATACATTTTTGTCGACAAAATAATCAAGATACGACATTATAATTCGTACAGCTAACTTCACAGTAATGATAATTTTCGTTCCTTTTTTTTTTTTTTTTTTTACAGGTTGAAGATATTTCTGTAATCAAGCAGTTGTAGACTGGCTCATGTCACGCACTCAATGTGTAAAAATATTTTCTAGATACAAGAAAAACTACTTCAAATTAGTGTTCCCTCTTTCTTCTTAATACGGTAAAATAGTCCAACTCGAATTTTGATATTTGTATTAAAAATATACAAATTTCAATATTCAACGTAAGTTATTATTATTATTATTTTATTAATAGAGGAAAGTATAAAATATCGATAGTAACACAAAGGCTTCTTGTTAAAAAGAGTATATCTATTCGGCCAACCGGTCATATTTTGATCTTTATATATAGTTTAGAAGTTGTCTGTTAGAAACACCAAATAATCACTTGTAGCAACCGAACAGAATGGGTTCCAACTCCATAATCCTTCCAAAAATTGATTTTTCTGATTCTGAATTGAAGCCAGGCACAGAAAAGTGGGCTTCTATTCGATCCAAAGTCTTGGGAGCACTTGAAGAATTTGGTTGCTTTGAAGCCGCATTTGACAAAATTCCAATTGAAACTCGAAGATCACTTTTTGATGCTTTAGAAGAGCTCTTTGATCTGCCTTTGCAAATCAAAGTTAGGAATTCATCTAAGAAGCCATTCCATGGATATGTGGGACAATATCCCCAGGTGCCACTCTATGAAAGCATGGGAATTGATGATGCTAATTTGCCTGAAAAAGTTCAAAGCTTCACTGATCTCTTGTGGCCTGAAGGGAACTCAAACTTCAGGTAAATCCAATAGAATTTTGTGATACACTTCATCCGTCTCAAAATGCTTGTCCAGTTTGGTATATATAGTAAAAATTGATCTTGTGACTTTAAATTACAAGATCAAAGATTTCAAAGAGAACTTTAAGACAACAAATATATAAGCATAATTTGTGTTTTGAGAATCAAAAAGTAACAAATTAAGCAAAAGCTTCATGATTGGTGATCATTCAAAATTATTTATATGTATGATGTTTTAGGGGTGGAAGGGTTTGGTGAGTATCTTGGTTATGAAATTAGTTTGGGGGCTTGTGATATTATCACGAGACCTAGGGTTCGATTATCGGCTAAACTGTTTGCTAAATTTGCAGCAATACTTTGAATTCTTATTCAGTGCAACTATCTGAGCTAGACTTGATGGTAAGAAGGATGATATTGGAGAGCTTAGGCTTAGAAAAGTACATGGAAGAACACATGGAATCAACAAACTACCTTCTTAGAGTCATGAAATATAAAGGGCCTCAAACAAGTGAATCAAAGCTTGGACTCAATGCCCATACTGACAAGAACATACTCACCATACTCCACCAGAATCAAATTCAAGGTTTGGAAGTTCTCACAAAAGAAGGTACGTGGATTGAAGTCAAACCTTCTCCAGATTCGTTCATTGTCATGATTGGGGACTCTTTTCTTGTAAGTGCTTCATCTCTCCTTTTTTTTTTTTCTTCTTTTAATGTGTTCCCTATTTGGTAGATCTTGTGTTACGACAAATTTTGGTTAAGTGGGACATTTTGAATGGTTGAATATAAAGATACCTTTTATATGATATGATATAGTAGAATTTAAAAGAAAGATTAAGTGCAGCTATATATCCATCTAGTTAATTAGTACTCAATCTGCCCAGAATTATTAATAATCACGACGTACAATCATTTCATGACAATGAGAATAATATTATTATCTTCAATCATATTTTTTTTGAAATAAATCAGCACGACGAAGTCAAGCAAATCCTCACGATGTTAAGAAAGAAAAATGATAAGGATTTAGTAATTTTATCGAGTTAAATATAACAATAATGATGTATGTGTTACATCAAAGTATAAAAATTCAGGATACCTTTTTCAATATTAATCATCCATAATTAATGATAGTCAATCCAATTCGATCTCAAGCTAGTCACCTATAAGAAGAAGTCACTCTAAGGTAATTTCATGTTTTTCTTTTGCAAATGCTAGATATGGATTGGCAATCATATTATATATCTAATTTTGTTTTAACAGGCATGGACAAATGGTAGACTCCACTCTCCTTACCACAGAGTGATGATGACTGGAAATGAAGCTAGGTATTCAGCTGGGCTCTTTTCAATTCCAAAGGCGGGTTATATCATAAAGGCTCCGGATGAGTTGGTAGATGAAGAACACCCATTGTTATTCAAGCCATTTGATCATGTTGAATTCCTTGCTTTCTATTACACAGAAGAGGGCCAGAAATCTCAATCTGCTTTAAAAGCTTACTGTGGTGCATAAGAATTTTTAGCAAGAAGATGCATCATATATTATGGAATAATATGGCATTTGTAACGAATTTGATTACCCTTCCGAAGGAAAGACATCGCAAGTTTGTACTTAGTTGTGTGTGTGGCAATAAGAGATATTTCTTTTCGTCCTTATTATAAGTTATTTTGATTTGTCTTAAATTTTATATAGTATTTTTTTTATTAAAAAAAAATCTTAAAAATACATTTTCACATTTTATTGTGTTTTTCTAATTATTAAGTTATATTTTTAAGATTTTTTTTTTCAATTAAAAATACTTATTAAGTGAAACCTAAGACAAATCACAACGCCTTATAATAAGGACCGAAACGAGTACTAATTACGGTAAAAAAAGATTTAATTAGATGCTCTTTCGTCCTAAAATGATTGTCATATTTGTTATACGATTTTATAATACGATATACACTTGACAATTATTTTAATGTTTTTTTAGAATTCAAAAGTTTGTAGTAGTAATAAGCCGAAATATTATGATTTTTCGAAGATGGTTTTGAGACAATTACGAAAGTCGGTAGATGATGATTGAATCGAGTAGTTTAACGATTTATAATATTTTAATCTTTCCTAAGAAATTAATATTATTATACTTGAAAATACAGAGGAAGAAAAATATGAAACAAGTTATTCTGAGTTCCTAGAATTTCACGGGACCATTTTCTTATTTCAGGCTACAATTTTTATTTTTATTTTTTGTAAGTTTTTATCATTAAATAAATGAAAAAGAATCGATTCAAACGTCATAATTAAACCTAGCTATTCTCTACTGACGATACTAACGGTTGCTACTAGCTTAAGAAGACAGTTTTAGGCTGACAGTTGATTATATTTTCTAATAACTTATAAATCTAAGTAATATAAAGGGGGAGTTCACCGGGTCAGCGCCAGTTTTTGTACCATTGCCGGTCGATCAACCCGGTGAACTCTTTTGTTCTTTCGGCTTTGTCGTCTCCTCCTCCTTCTCTTTATCTTATTCTCTGTGCATCCAATTCAACCGACAGTTTCATAAGAGCAAATACTCCATGAATCTTTGCTCCTTGCGCAAAAAGGGTTTTCGCCCAAAATCGGAAGCCCTATAAAATTAAAATCAAAATCCAATCTTTATGCATCCTATGGGAGAAATGCGAGCGAGAAGAAAAATTCAAAAACGGATTTTAGGGATTCAACCCTACCCGTGTCGGCTATCTATAAGAAGAAGGATTTTAGTGAAATTCATGAAAGTGGTTCATTTTTGAAAGATTTCTGCTCTTAAAGGCTCTTCTATCATTTCCTTCTTCACATTCTATTGAAGTGATGAAGCATCAGCAGTGAGTTATTATTATTGAAGAAGATGACGATGACAATGAAGGCCCTCTTTGCATACAAGTTCAATGGGTTGTAAAAAATCGGAAGGGAATTAACGCCGGCCGAAGTCTCGATGATGGTGGGTATGATCGTTTAAAGGAAAAAAGTAATTTTTCGGTGACGGAGATAAAGGGTGCGACGGAGAACAACATTTCTTTCTCAAAGCGGTCTGTTGGTGGCAGTGGAGGGGAGGGAATTGATGCTTGAGATTTGAATTCAGGTATGGCTTCCAGTGTTCTTATGTGTTTCACGAAGTAGGTTATATGTTCCTTGAATTCATGTTTTGGCCTCTTTAGCTTAAGATATTCTATAATTCCTTTACTGTTGATTTCATTTGGTGCGTTATTGGGTTTATAATTATAGGTATGTTCATTGCACAGTGGGTGTTTGATTTTATGCCTAACTGAATTTTCATATGTAAATCTGTTGAGAAAAATATTTGGTTTCTGTCTTGGTGCAATTTTCTCAGAGCCTGTTTTGAGCAAAGAATTAATTCAATTTGCAGTGCATATTCTGAAAAACTTCAATCAAAATGTGCAGGTTATGTGGTTCTTGGGGGTATGTTAATACAAGAATAAATTCATCGCAGTAGCTATCCAAAAAAAAAAAAAAAAACTTGTAATCCAGAAACCAATTGCTTCTCTATCTTCTCTATTCACTGCTAAATTGGATGTAAAAATATATTGATATCATCTATAAGAACTCTTTAGGAACATGCATTTCAAACTGAAAACTCAATAGACACAGAGTAGGTCCTTTGTCAAGTATTTTGAAACATATATCAGCTAAACTTCTGTGATTCGACCACATTTTTATATGCTATAATCGGTATTAAATTTAATTCGTACTCTTGATGTTTCCACACCACCTATAAGTTACAACTATAAGTTACTACTACCTTCCATTGGATCGTGTAAAGTAATAGAATTAAACAAGAAACAATCAATAAAACTTAGGACTGAAATTGCAATTCAACCTATCTTGACAGTTCGTCATCAAAGGAGAATCTTAGTTTGAAGGAAGATACTTGTTCTGCTACCTCTGTATTTTATTTGATTTTGAGTTTGATCATACAGTTTATCAAAACAGTTTTTAATGTTTTATGTAGAGAATTACTACGTACTTATATTTTCAAGGTAAGATCTGAATAATTTGTGTAAAGACGGGAAATTTGTAGCCATGTCAAAAGTTACTATCTCTAGACATAAAGCTACACCTGCCATTTGGGATTTTAGTTCCAGGATTATGTACTTACTGTATGATTTTAGTTTTAGGAGTATGTAGTTGCTGCATGGAACCTGAAATTCAATCTTTTGAAGATTTGACGTCTGCTAATTAGATACCGTTTTTCTTGTGCAACAATTAGTGGTAACTGGTAAACCATACTTGCAGGAACTGGCGATTGTTATAACAAACTCTTTTCATGAAGGACATGATGGACAAGCTTGACAACAAAATGACTCTTCTTTCATGTTGACATTGCAAAATTGCAAATCATAGTATTTCCTGCACATACCAGTTGAGGTATGGTGCAACTATACGACAAGCCAATGCCAAGAAGTCAGATCATTATTGTATATTAAGTAAACATTAAATTATTAAAATTGTCCGGGTCAGACCGCACCTTGTGTGGTCCCCCGTCTTGTTTTCAAAGGATAGTTTTCAGGTCTAACATCTTGTTTTTGGCATTTTGATAGTGCCTTCTCCTGTTTCTGTTAAACAAAGACTTCTCAAAATATCCAGATGACTTGAAGAAATGACATACATAGTCGTAGCACGAGTGCCCCGGAAAACTGCCTACAAGGAGGGTGAACAAGATTTCTCTTGGAACACAAAATCAAAGAATGCAAGGTGAAGTACGGTTCTGATTAATAGTTAAGAATTGGATTTGTTTTACTACTAAATCAAAGTTGAAACTTGATGACTGATTAGTTACAGCTTGATTAAAGGATAAACATGACTGTTGTTGATTGGTGAGAGCGTCAATCAGCCGGACATAATTTGTCAATTTATTTCCCGAGAAGAAAATCTGTTTAGCTTTCTTCAATCTTTTTTTTTAGTGTATTCTCAAATTTTTCTAGTTGTTCCTATGATTGAAAAGGATTTGGATCCGGCAGTATTAAAAATATACCAAATCCGGTTACGAAAATAATCAAGATGCAAGAACTTGAAGCCCGCCTGAAAACGAAGAGATCATTCTTTAGTGTGGATGCTCCTATTGTAGTAAATGATCTCATATGGAAAATTTCACAGGATTTTTAGGCCTCTTTGCTCCCGATGATAAAAAGGAATGCTTTCACTTGAAAGTATAATTCTCATCATAGATTTCAGTTTTTTTATAGTTCAATCTATCAAGATTGAAATTGTATATAAAGAGAGAAGTTGTTGAACTTAAGGGTCATTTAACATCCTGTATTTGCCAAGACTTACTATTTCATTCATCAAAGAATTTCTCTTAAAAATTAATATTAGTGTTGAATTGGCTTTCATTTTGCCACTACTTTCTGTTTTGAGATATTTATTTTTGATAATATATGGACATTTCCTTTCATCCCTCCGACCTAAAAACAGTCTCTGGGCTCAAATTAACCCAAGCCACACCTTGTGCGGCCACCCACCCTAGTCTAAATCTAAAATGCCACCTCACTTCTAAAATTCAGTTTTCTTTTTGTCTCTCTCTCTCTCTCTTTTATTTTTTCTTTTTCCTTGCTAGCACTGTCGCTTGGCCTATATTTATATCTATTTAAATAGTGTTTATAAACTGTAAAGATTTAAACATTTTTCAATTTATAAAAGAAAAGACATAGACTTATTATATTGTGAGAGGGTAGAATATTTTTATGTTATATTCCCTATGTCCCAAAATTATTGTCCAGTTTGAATTTTTACTTTTAGTTCAATTTGTACTAAAAATTAAAATCAAAACTGGATAATAATTTTGGGACGGATGGAATACTTTTTAGTAATATTCCTCATTTGTTCGTAGTGTTGTAGTGTTTTTGTTGTAATTCTCCATACTAGATGATTGAAAAAGATTCAGTGTTCATAAGTTTATTTAGTAAAATTATGATTTTGAACTTTAATTGGATTACCGATGTATTCTTGATTGGTGATATATTTAATATTATATATAGGTAGATTTACGCACGTTTACTCATAAAACAACAGTAGACAAAAGATTTCGATTTATAATTTTCTTTAACAGATAATTATGTAACTTTATTTGTTTAATGGGGACTAATAAGAAATGAAGAGTCTGTTAATAGTGGAAACTTGAAAGATTTTCTTTTGGTGATGAATGTTATATAGAAGATATAATTTTGATAAGTAATGGAAACAAAAAAAAAAAAATTCTTTCAACAATATGAGCAAATTTAAAAAGTTTGTGTGAGAGTTTTTCAGGTTGGAAAACGAATCAAGTCACAAAATATTGCTATTTTGATGTGATGATCATTTATTCCAGTGATTTTCTCTAGTGTAGTAGAAATATTTAGATGATAGAGAAGATTTTAACATAGATAAATTTTGTGTATATAAAGGGAAAAAAAAAGTAGTATTGGTGTAACAAGAAATTTTGGTGATATATTGAGAGAAGAATAATGAATGATTTAGATGATATTTGGATAACGTTTTGTTTTAGTTTTTCATTTGGACTTGGGAAGAGATTTAAAATGTAGTTTAGTGACAATTTTTACAAAGTATTATGGTATATTGACCATTTTTTGAAAGTGGGATAGTATAGTGACCAGACTTAAAACTTTACAATATTTTGTGACCAAACTTAAAATTTTACAATACTTTAGTGACCACCGCCACTAAACTTTACAATAGTTTAGTGACTAAACTTAAAACTTTAAAATAGTTTAGTGACCATCGGTACTAAACCTTACAATAGTTTAAAAGGTAAATTAAATTAATGTTTGGATAGTGTATAGGGATTTGTCTTTAAAAGGTAAAATAAGGAGACCATCTTGAGTGTACCCGGAACTACCATGGTCCCCCTCCTATTTTTTGCATTATTAGTTCTTATTGTACTTTTTCAAAATAATTTCTTATATTTTACAAATTTAGTCCCTGTTAGTTGTTTTTTCTCTCCTCCAAAAAACTGGTTGGATAGTCAGTATAAAAAATTGGACAATTATTTTTTATAAAAAATAAGAAAAAAAAGGTTGGATAACCATCACCAAGAAGTTGGATAATCAATATGAACACATTGAACATATATTCTTTCAAAAGAAAAAAAAGAAAAGAAATTCTGTTTAGATAATCAGTGAAAATGATTGGATACCCAATACAAAATGGTTGGATAGCCAATACAAAAAAATGGACACACAAATACTTTTTTCGTTTCTGCCCAGAGTATTTTAATTTTTTTATTTTACAAATTTAATATTCAATATTGATCTTATCAGATAGAGCTCGTCAAGTACTATAAATTTCATGTATAATCCGTTTTTTAATTATTCACGGATCAAGAGATATAAGGAATACAACAATATAAATATAAAATAAGTTGGTTATCCATCTTTTTAAACTGAATATCCATCCAAATAACATACAAATTTCCTTCATTTCTGCCCATCAAAATTTAGTCATTTCTAAGTTAAAAAAAAAAAAATATTCGATATGGATCTTGTTAGATAGATCTCGATGAGTACTATGAATTTCATATATAATTCATTTTCTAATTTTTCACGGATTGAGAGATATGCTCATTTGAAAATTAGAGATATTTTATGAGGAGAGAGAAAAAAAAAAGTGACAGGGACTAAACTTTCAAAACGTAAAAAGTTTGAGAAAAAAAGTACAATAAGGATCATATGTGCAAAAAATAGGAGGAGGACCATGGTGGTTCCGAGCGCACCCAAAAATTTGCCTAAAATGAGACAAAAAATAAAATGAAACGACAAACAAACAAAGCCTTACTTTTATAAATCACTATTGGAAATAATTTCTAAATTTATTGGGAATAATCACATGGTTTAAGGCTGGTTCATTCCCAGTGAAATATTTGAGAGTCTCTTTCTCTTCGGGGAAATGAAGCCAAATGGATTGTGAGCTGCTGGTTCAAAAGTTGTCGGTTCGAATCAAATGCTGGAGTTCCAGACACTTGAGTTACTCAGGCAGACTGCAACTGGTGAACTCAGTTTTGATGGCGATGAGTACTTATTGGGCTATTGTTTTCATGCTACCACATAGTGTTAATCAACAAATTAATAGAATGTGCAGAGCTTTCTTTAGGGTATTAAGGACACTGGAAGGAGTTTGGCGCTAGTAAGCTGGGACCAAGTATGCTGCAGGAAAAAAGCAAGAGGATTGAATATCAAAGACGCTTAATTATGAAATGAAGCGGCCTTGATGAAACAGGTGTAGTGGATTGCAGCCAAATAGACAGTCTCTGGATTAAGTGGCTTCATGAACAATATATAACGAAGGAGATTTTTTGGAAGATGCAACCAAAGCAAAGCTCCACCTAGCATTGGAGACAACGATGAACCAGCAGTAATGCCGGTTGCTTAGATTTATATGGTTTAAGGTAGTTGTACCTAAGCATTCATTTATTTTATACCTGTTTTAGAACAGGAGACTGTTAACAAAAGATGGACTGGAAACTATGAATATGCTAAGAGGTAATCAGGAGTGTGTTTTCTGTCTGTTAGAAAAGGAAACGTTAGATCATCCATTTTTTGACTGTGGTTATGCTTCAGAGCTGCTAAATGTAGTAGTAAGATGGTTAGGGATCTAGGGGATATCACATTCTCAGAGCTTGTGGAGAATATAAGTACTGGCAGCTTGCAGGGATTCTAAATTCAAAAGGAAGATATTTCAGACTGTTATGGTTGCTACTGTATACCATTAATGGGAGGAGAGGAATGAGAGGGTCTTTATTGATAAAAAAAGGCCAGTTGAAGTGGTACTGAAGGTGATTCAGCAGGAAATGCAGTGGAGAATTGAGGTCTGTTTAGGTGCCAAAGAGTTAGCTAAATATCAGGAAATTTCAAAACTTTTGTTCTAGAAGGTGATGTACAGTTAGAAAATTTTGTAATTAGAAGACATATGAGGTAGTATTTTGTTTGTAAATATGAACTGAAAAGTTACAAATCAATATATTTACATTTTACCAAAAAAAAATTCTAATTTAGTATTAAAAATATTTTTAAATTTATTTTTTAGTTAAAAATTAAAATAAATAAATACAAAATGATTTGATTAGGCTTCCAAACTTTGCAATTTAATTTTCCCGAAGCCCAGGTTATTTGAAGCCCGAAAATGGCCCAAGTCACTCTATGGTAAGAGAACATAGTTGGGGTATTCTCCCAATTTCTCTATTTTTGGTCCGATAGTTAGCCGGAGCACTGCTAGAGGTTTCGCCGGAAATTCGCCGCTGCAACTGAAAACTTGCTAATCTTGGCTTCGAAGCACGGTGTTTCCCGACTTCTTAACTTTCTAACGGATTAAAGTTGTTATGCAAATGATAAATTAGGCGTGATTTAAGTTACACGAACAGTGGGGCGATCCTAAGCCGTTTTGCCGCCGCCACTTACCTTTCTGCTCGGGTGACATGGAAAACGAGATGGGAAATGATGAGGACTCGGAAGAAATGGCGCCGGGGTATTACCTTGAGGATTGTAAAGAATTATTATCACAAATGAAGGAACAGGAAAAGATTCTCAGGCTCAAAAGAAGGTATAATCCTTTCTCTATTTTTATACTACTCCATCTCAAGGTGCCTATATATCATAGTGTGTATGCTTTAGTTCAAAACTCAAATTCTGTTGTAGTGTAATTGGGTCGGAATATTCAACTTTGATTCTAAATGGATAATGTTGGGGAAGTGGAAATCAAGAGGAATGTAGGATCTTAGATAGTATTCTGTGAAAAATAAAAGCTTATCCCTACATAAAAAATTTAAAGAAAAAAAAATGTTTGAAATTGAGTTATGCGCTTTCATCACGCTGCAAGGAGTTTGTGAATACGAGGTTGTCCTCTTTGGCAGTCATTTTGACTCTGTAAGGTGGGTTTCTTTAAATGTGTATGGATGTTGGAGCTGATATTGCAAATATTGAAGCTGTATTTGATTAAATTGAGATCGTTTTTCTCTAATTGACATGTCTCGCAATGACAAGTTTCCTTTTGGTTGTGAGTATTGGTTTGCTCTTTTTCTGAAATGTTCTGCTCACACACAAAAACATAGTAGAAATTTAAATTACCTTGACGTAGAATTGGCCTTGATTGTCTTTTTTTTTTTTGGATATGCATACTATTCCTGGAGATAAAACTTGTGTTTGCTTGGTGTAGGTGGCTGATGGATTTGCCATTGTCTGCAAAGTTGATGAAGAAACTCAGTCCTCTAGCAGACAGGTATGGACATGGTTTCTTTATTTATTTATTTTTTTAAACTTTTTTTGCATATTACCGAAGAACATATATCCTTTCTTCCCTCAGAATTGTAATGTGTATTTTAAGGTATCTGAGGAACCATAAGAATTGGTTCTAACAGGAAACAAATTTACTTAATGGAAACAAATCTTCATCAGGTGTGCTAAAACATGCATCATCGCTAAAGCTGGTAAAACGTGAGATATGCCATTAAGGTGGTGTAGATGTGTCTGGGAGATCTTTAATACTGCAGTAGAGTGTATAGAAGAAGTGAATCATGACCTCAAATTAAAAGGAAAAAGGGCAAACCTGATGGTAATGAAAGGGCGACTTTTGAAAAAGTCAAATCTTAGAAAGCAGAGGGCCAGTTTTTCGACAGAAAATGATAGTATGTAATATCTAGCATGTAATCGTAAATGCAGGGGTGAAGCCTTAGTTCTTTCTTTTCTTCTTGAATCTAGTTTCTGTAGTGACTGAATTAGATACTTGGAGAAAGGTGAATAAAGTAAAACAATCTACAAGTATAAGATGATTCCATCATTCTCCTTTCCATTCTGTGTAGATGGTTTTAAAAAAGAGTATCTAATACAAGACATGTTTTATGAAGACTTGGTAGTTTTTCTAGACCCTTCCATCAGAATTTAATGCTTCAGAGCTCTTCTCCAATTGTGCTACCTTGTGGTATGGTATCCATGCAAGATAAAAATTGATTGTTTGTCCCTTCGTTGGATTCCTGGCAGATCAGCAGTTATCCGAGGGTTTATTTTGGGTTAAATGGTTTTAGATGCTTCTTTGGAATTGCTTTTGTGTCAATCGCAGTTATGATCACAAAGTTTATGGAATAACTGGGCGACCATAAATGTTGATAAGTAAATAGAATCCTATTTTATCGTGTAACATTTTCTCTAAAGAGCTTCTTCCTGAAGAGCTTCTTCCTCTTTTTCTGAAGCTTTAGTTTCTTATATTTTTATGATGTATATGTACTCGTTAGATGCTCTCTCTTGGTGTTATTATAGTTGACTTCTCATTTCTGTTTACAATTTTTTGAGACCCTGCTTTCCTGATAATAATATTATGTCACTTAACGTTTCACATTTTTTTTTTGGTATCTGCAGGACAATGCCTGAAATATTTCTTAGAGAAGATGATGTGAGTTCCTTTTGTTGTGATTTCTTTGTGAATTCTGAGTTCTGAGATTATTTGTTGATCTGACTTGGTATCTGACTGAAGCAATTGACTTTCTCTGCGTCATATCTCTTCAGTCATATACCTTTATCTTCTTCTTTGTTTCTTTCTTTTTGGTCTCTCTCTCTAGCTACTAGCTTTTCATTCTCTGCTAGTCTTAATTTGGAATCTTACCTATTCTAGGAATGAGCTAGTTCTATGATTTTTATTTACAAGACTACTTGTAATAAAAGGACTATTTGTTGTAGTGATTCGTTACCATTTCTTTTGATTAATCCCTGCCATTCTAAAAAATATGTGAACTATTCCTGGAGAGAGAGTAGTGGTGCGAGGATTATTAGAAGTTCTAGTTCAACCTTCGATTACTAGGTATGCTAATTTCGTGGTGCAAAGCACTGTGGGCCTCTTTTGCAATAAGCATGAAGGACTGCTAATGGGCATTTCAAATGAAATTGCTCATAGGAATATGTTACCAAATTGGGGTTGAAACTTAACTGAAAATTATTGTAACAAGAGGGCATGACGATTTATGAAGCATATATTCCACCATTAGACACTTGGAAATGAATTATTTTGTAATCACAAGTACAAACTAGAATTCCAGAATGAATACATATGCATATTGAAAAGAAATAAAAAGATCAGGAAATGAAGATAGAATCTAGATTTTCAAGTTTTAAGCATATATAAGTTTTCTAGAAGCCAATTTGTAGAGAGAAGGAAGAGAGCTCATTGTTTTTGGATGTAAAGCTTAAGAAGAGACATCAAAGAACTTTTGTAAGCAGTCATAATGAGTTAGCTTTATAATTCATCTGTAAATGATCCTGGAATTTTGTGTGAAATGGGGAATCAAAAGTGTTAGTTCTTGTGAAAGTTAAACTAAAAGGTGCAAGTCAGAGGCTACTGCAGCTTAATGTATGAGATATATAAGGAAAGAGATTTCTATTAATTTTGAAAGCATGCATAGTCAAGAGATGAAGAGTTTGAAAAAGTGGAATCTCGAGAACCTGTGAATTACTTTTCTTTCTCCTTGTCCGTGAAAGGTCTTTCATGTTTTGCTTGCTTTTAGTGTTTTGGAGTTCCATGTAATCAAATCCTTTCATCAACTTCATGGTTCCATTAACAGATGATTATTCTGTGAATATCTTTTATTTGCAGGCAGAGTTTTGCACAATTAAATCTTCTGTTCAAAAGGTTTTGGGAGTGACATATTCTGTAAATGAAGGACAGGTTGAAGATGATTTGCGATCCTTTTATTCAAATTACATTTTGAGGAATTTGTCATCCCTAATTGATAGGATGACAGAAAAAGGATTACACCGTTTTGCTGAATTACTGGGAGATGGCTTTGTTGAATCTGAGAAAACGGGGAAGAAGTTCAAGGGGATAATCCAAAAGCATCTACCTATATATCTCAATCATCAGAACGCTGATTTCCGGACAAGGATGGAAGAAATTTATTCTCTCTTAAGTAATCATGAGAACTTTAATGAAAATCCCAACATTTTTGGTTCATCAACAAAATATCAAGTTGCTGCTATTAGATTATTGGCTGGACTCGAAGACTTGCCTCTTCAGGCACTGAGAGCAATGCGCAGGAAACTTAATGGTGAAAGCGGGCATATCCCCAGACTGAGTACCTATAAGCATGACCAGAAACGTTACATTATACGTTATTTGAAGAACTGTTGCATGACTATGTTGTCAGAACTTAATGAAGGGGAAGAGCTACCACAACCATTGGCTAAAGCTCTGGCTGTTGCGAGCTTGACAATAAATTTGATACTTGGTCATCCACACGTACCAGAGTTCCAAAAATTTTCTCCAGCAATGGGATCCTTACAGAATGACATTGCAACAGCTATTTCTCTTCTAAGTTCTAAATACCGAGTGAGGTCCTCTGAATTGAATGTAGTGTTTACAAAGCTGGCTTGCCTTGAGGATTCTGAAGTGAAGCTTTCAAAGAAAAGTAGGCGTGCTGCCGTGATTAACATCCTAATGGATTTTCTATATGAGTCTAGTGACATGGAAATTATTCCAAAACCATTATTAGATGCAGTTTCTTATGTAAACAAGAACTCTCGCGATTCAGATCATAGAAGTGTTTTGAAGAATACAGTTGAACAAGAGGTAGAATTAGTATTAGGTTTTAGCGCCCAAATAAAGCAGGTTGTCTGGGACCTGGTTCCAGAACTAGAAGTTGACAATGATTTTTCTGATGCATGTATGGAGCACTTTATGGAAAACGATGATGACGAGGAAGAGGAAGGAATGCATTTTTCTCGAACTTGTGGACTTGCTCCCGATGACTTGAACTGCTCATCAGAAAGCTTTGGTGAAACAATTTCCCTTAATTCTGGGTTGCTCTTGTCGGCCGGTACTGTAGATGGTAGTCCTTTGTTCCTTTCACCTGACAGTCATTTGAGAAGCAAACTTCAGTCAGTTCATATTACAGAGAGGGATATGTTTGAGAAAAACAATTTTAACATGTCCCAGTGGCCAGAATCAGAAATGATAGAGAAGAAACCTATCTTTGATGGCACCTTTCACCAGTCAGCAAGTGTCGGGATGAACAAACAGTCTAATAAATGCTCATTTCCAGTAGAAAGCAGTCCAGGTGACTCTTCTGTACCTGTTTTACCTGGCAGAACTAAACTCTGCTTCGATGTGAAGAAAGAAACAACTCTTTGTGAGCCCGCAAAGAGTGCAGAAGTCCTGCGTCCAAGCTCTCCAACTGGAAACAAGTATCTTTTCGTTCAGAAAGCTTGTGATGATACAAGCATGGCCATGTATCACATAATTGGAGGCATGCTGGCTGAACTTGCACAGGCACAACACTTAGATTTAAGTCAGGATAGTTTGGCATATCTTCAAAGACATCGTTCAGTTCCTGATGATCCCAAAGGTACTTGTATTTAACCTTTTCCCTGTCGCATGTCATTCTCTAGATTCTAATAAATCTTTTGAGCTAAAGTTAATACACTCCTACAATGAAGTTTCAGGTTGGCCTTTATGATATTTTATATTCTCTTAGCAAATATGCGTTATGTAGCAAATAGGATCAACTCCTCATTCTTGAGCGTGGAAATTGGAGAGTCTTGGGTTTTAAAATTCACTTGGATGGCTTTTCATTAGCCTTTTCTTTTTTCTCTAAATAATAAAAAACCAAATCTTATCTTGATTTTGACTGACAATGATGTCAAAGAGGTCATTTGCATTTTCTTGAGTTGTGTATATTTCATTGAAAATGCATAGTGAAATGGAATAGTGAATGATGTGGCACAAGTGCACGTACATAATCACACGCTGTTATGTTGAGAGATCGGTGTGGTTTGTTTTGTCTTTTCATTAATCACTATTCTATTTCACTATTCACTATGTGTATCATTGCTCTTTGATATTTTAGGTTCAAATGGGTAAGAATTTAGGAACATGTTGGCTCTCTTGAAATATTGGTACTTAAAATTTTCATCTCTTGGGTTTGAGTGCATTTATATTGTTTGGAGTACCATTTTTATGGTACTTAAAGTTCCATTTTTTAACTTATAGATCAAATTCACGGAAAGTATTGTTTGGAGTTCTTTTTGAAGTCCATTCCTGGAAGTATTGATGAATACATCTCTTTCCCCAAAATGTGAGTGACGACAATGTGTATAGAAAGTATTAGGAGGCAGCTGTACAAATGCAGAAAGTTATCGAAGAAAAGTGTGAGATAAAGTTGTAGCAAATCAGTACAGATATAAATATCAACTTGTGCAATCTTTCAAGAATTTCGAACCTAGTGTTGGGAGCCCAAGGAAATTTATTTTGAGGTTTTAAGTCCAAGGCAATTGGATATCTAAGTTTGACCGAACACCCTAAAATTTCAGTAGTAAGAAAGTTATTCGTGGAGATATTAGTGGTTGATATCTCCAGTGCTAATATACAGCTACTAAATTCTAGTTGTTGCAAGCTATCATAACATAAACTGGGATTTCCGAAATGTTTTGCTTGCTTGTCTGGGAATTCTCCATTAGTATTTCTCCACTGCACGATCTTTTGGGTGTTGCGCGATAGGTAAATTCTGCATACCTGTGGTGCAAGCTATTTGTTGAGACTTCTCTGTCTCTTCTAGTAAGCTAAAACCAAAACTGAATCCTAAAAATCCTCAATGATAACATTCTTCTACTGGTTTTGGTCCACAAATAACTGTTAGGCTAAGGAACAGGAGTTCTGAAGATTTTTGAGGAGCTGAAGTTCGGTGGAGTGATAAAACAGAGTGAACTGAGGTCTTCAAGCCTTCCTGGTGTCTTCAATTTTGTATGCAAAGCTACCATTTCTCATTGCAGTACATGGTGTATGAAAGCTCCCGTTTCACGCTGCAGGAGATCGTGCAAATTTCCTTCTACTAGTGCAAGTAAAAAGGTGAGTTGGTTTCTCCTAACTTTCTTTGTTCAAAGATTTGTTGTGAAACTAGTTTGCAGTAGTATCTTGTTATCATTTTATGTATGCATAAGCTGACATATTTTTACATATGATGATGCACTAATTTTGCAATGAATTAGTACAAAGTTACAGTTAAAAAAGGTGGTTGAACAAAAGACCAGATATGGATTGGTAATTGAATTTCAGGTTGAACTGAATTTGGAAAGTGGGGAAAAGAGAATTATTGGAAAATCTGAAAAATGAATGAAACTCAAAATATAGAAATAGATATTAGTGAGGGATAGGAAGAATACTCATAGGATTTGAAAAATGCATGGGAATGAGGCTTTGAATATTCATTTGCATTTTGGCTTTTTGTAGAAATATTGTGGAGGAAGGGAAAATGCTTGTTATCGATGCTGTCATGCACTTCTCTGAAGAGATTAAATCCTGGGCTAGGAGTAGGCAACCTAGCACAAAACCTCAACTGATTACACTATTGGTTGAACAAGACAAGACCTCAAGTGACTCACCAAAGAAAAGTTCATGTTTGTGTAGGCGGAATATCGTACCCAATTGTAGTGCTCAAGATTCATACTGATAAGGACTTGATTAGAATATGTGAAATGAGTATCGAAAGCGGATTCAAGGACATGAGGGTCTACGTTCCTCGTGAAGGACAGATGTTCGGAAGCTTACCAGGGGCTAGATGATAGCCAGTAACCACAGCTAACTGTGCTAAGGGAAGGTCTAAGAGGTGTAAAGAAGATATGGACTATGTGAATTAGCAATGCGATGAACTAGTCAATGAGGTGCAGCATCTAGTTTGCTGTGGTGAAAATGTTTCGCTTCTGCAAAAGTTTATAAACTTCTGTATTTCTGATTTGACAGGAAGATGACCTTTTACCATCTGTATCAATATTTTTGCAGGTAGCCAATCTTTTACCATCTGTATCAATATTTTGCAGGTAGCCCATAAATCTAGCTTTTACATTTCAGTGGTTTGATAAATGGTTGCCGAAGTTTTGTTTAAGCTGCTAAAGGTATTGGAACAATTCAATCTCTGTTAAAGTACTCTTTTAATGAGTAGTTGCTTTTAAGGTGTGTGTTTGCTCTTTGGAATTCAAAGCATAATGAGTCTTCAAAGTGGAAAAAACAAGGACATAAATATAAGAAAAAACAATAAAAGTTTTTCAAAAAGAATAAATAAATAAAGGGTTTCATCCATAAAACTAAGGCAATATACAAATATATGGCTTGAAAGGAGAAAGCAAATCATAACCTTTGCCTTTGACATTAATATACTTCCTAAATCTTCTCACATCTCAGAATATCAGACCAAACTACTGTACAAAAAACGGACAAGACGGGGTAATACTTCATGATACCCTAGCTCATCCATAAGGTGTAAACTTCACTAAACTTCAGTAACTTTTAACATGTACATGGATAACAAACATGTAATACACTAACTGGATAATCCTTTCTTTTTTTTTAGCATTGGTTCCAATGGTGCGAAGAACAGGAACAATAGCATTTTGTGATGGTTGAGTATGCATGCTTCAGCCAAAAAGATGAATGAAGTACACTTGCTGTAATTTTTACCATGTGCCACCGTTTACTCTCCGTCCAAAGGATCTGCAGGAAGTCGACCTGGTGCAGCATCATCATCGTTTGAGTACTGTGCCCTGGTTTTGAAAAAAGTTCATTGCGTTTAGCTTCCTCTCAAAAAACAATTACTGCTACCTGAGCTGCCCAGTGTAGAAGGCGCATCACGGACTAGAAACTTCACGTTCCGAGTACCAAGAAAGTCTAAAATCTCGAGACATTCTTGTAGATCGGCGTCACTGACTAACATCACCCACTCTTCTTCATCATCCATGTACTTGAGTTGAAATGTCCCTGATGGCAGTTTGAACCTCTTTGAAACTTCTTCGTAAAGTTGGAAGCACCCTGAGGAAGGATCAAATTTAAAACGGACTGTATCATCCTTATAAGTAGCTTTCACTGTGAGTTTCGAACTGCTGTCACCAAAACTTGTTTCAGTTCGTGAAAGCTTCTTTTCAGCAATGCTTCTAGAGCTTGATGTGCTGCCATTCAACATTGATCCAGATCCGTTTGATGAGTCTGTCATGCTTGAGGAGGTAGGCTGGTTATGTTCAAGACATCCTTCACCACCTAATTTCTCACTCTTCAACTTGGTTTCCTCATCAACAGCAACAATGGAGCTTGAGCACAGAGAAAATAACTGAGAATCAGACTTGTCTGACTTTTGTTTGGAATCATTCAGCCCCTCATTGAAACTCTTTTTCGGGTAAGAATCCAGAAACCCACTCCCAGAGTAGGACCAAGGAACAGAATTCAGACTAGGAGGCCATGATGTCCCTACATCTAATGCAGCAAGTTTGGTGTCACTGCAGCTTGGTACTGTGGGTGTACGCATTTTATTCACTCCCTCGAAAGATTGGTCAATCTGCATGCCAGATTTCTCAATTTCATTTGCCTCTGAATCAGCCTCTTCCATTTTCACCACAGAATTCTCGCCAACCACACAATAAGATGGAAGAGATGAAGTTGTATCTAGGCTAGCTGAACTAGAATTTCTGAGAGAAGTACTTTTAACTGAGAAAAGAGTGGCACTTGGATTGAGGTTGTGGCTTACAGATCCAGCAGCCACTAGGCCCCCACTAGTTGGATCAAACTTCAGACCCCCTTCAACTCCCTGAACCGAGTCAAGGACACTTTGGATCTTTTTCAAGGAGCGGTTAACTTTATTTATCTTACGGGATGGCCATCTTGAGATGCCATGTTGTCTACAAATTCTTTTCAGTGTAGTTGGGCAAACTACAAAAAGCAAAACCGCCAAACAAAATCAATTCATAGCTTATGAAAATAAAACACAAATAAGTAAATTCCAAAGAGGATAAAGGTTTTCGAGGTCAACCCCTCTTTCTGCTCCCCTATTCCTACAGGCATGTGCAAATTGATAAACAATAGAGGAGGCCATGGTTTGTGTAGGAGGGGGCAACAGAACTGCATGGTCTAATTTCAACGAACTACCTAGCATAATAGATGTCCACAAGAAGCTTGGGAGGGATAGGGGAGGAGATAAGGCAGGGGACTCTAACTTGAGTTGTGGATTTGAACCAAGTGGCTGCAATCCTAAGGAAAAGGGGGCAAAACACACAACACACAACACACATACACACAAAGCAGCTAAGAGTGTCTATGTGACGCCAAAGATATTAAAATGCATAGAAACCAGAGCAGATAACTTTCTTCTTGAGCATTTGGCAACAGTTTTCATTATTATTGTTGTTCTTGGGAATAATCAAGACTTTGAGTGAAACAGAGATGCTCAAGATATGTTATGGGAATGAGTAATCTCACCACCAATGCTTTTAGCGGCATCTTTCAGGCTGCCAGAAAAATACTTCTGGAGAACACTTAAGCTGACATGCTTTTCAGCAGTGCTTCGCTTTTTCTCTGGTTGCTTTTTTGGTCCATCCATTGCCTGCAAGGAATAATTTAATAAAGAACCCTAAGTGATATAACTGGAAGAGGAAACATCAGATATTTCATATACAACTCATTTATTTGGTATTACGATCAAGTTACATACTAAAACTACCATGATGACATTACCATGCCCAAGGAAACATTTATTCTTCAAACAAACTAATATCCAACAGGAAACAAGCATTCTCAAACCTTATAACGGCTATAAAGTTCGAACATCCAACACAATAACAAAGAAAAGAAAGTTAAGTACCTGGCGAATAGGAATACTATCTCTCGCTTGCGCAATATTTGACTCAGAAGCAGTCAAGGGCAATAGATCAGCAGAATCTGAATTGTCACTAGACAAGGATTCTTGAGAGCACTTATCAGTCGAAGCAATTGTAGGTGGATTAGGAATTGATCTGTTGGCCAAACCTTCATTAGATTCCTTTCCTCCCATCAACTCTGCATCTGACACTGTTCGCAATGTCTTACATATCCGTTGCATGGTACCCGAGAGGTTATTAAGTAGCAGCTGTTGTTCTGCACTTCCTCTCATACTGATGGGAAGAAAGAACTCCAATACGTAATCATCATCCCCAGTGTACGTGCTCCTCAGCCTAATGGCAACAGCAGCATTTAGGCCGAACTTTCGTGCATGATGGACAAGAGGATATTCACTTATATGGTAATCTTTCACATCAGGGTAGAAGAATGGATGATTGGACAGGAGAGCTTTCCCAACAATACCTTGTCCCTCCTCAAGATAGTGTTCCATGCAGGCATGGATAAATCCTTCCATCTTCTTATCATTCACATAACAGGCTGAATCTTCAATGCACAAGATAGGTTTTTCATTTGAATGGGTAGGTCTTCCCCTAACACGAACTTTTACATTTTCACCAACTCCCTCTGTATAAGTACACGGAATCCATGTCGAAGCAAGAGGCAATCGGTGAGCGTGGCATACAGCTCGTAAGACATCAGTTATTTCAGTCAAAGCAGCTCTTTGATTCTTTGAGAGACACTGAAAATAGCATTTAGTGGCAGAAAATGAAGTTGTATGCTTTTAGTTAAATAATAAATCATTTATTCTAATGTTAGATAGATTTCATAATACACACCTGGGCATAGAGTCGAGGAGGAGGAGTGCTTCTTAAGTGAACCGTCTGCAAAATGTCAAACACACAAGTCAATACAAACAACACAATCCGAACTAATACCACTGTCATCATCAAAAGCATGTGAGCATGCAACTGTATGTATTTTCATGTACTCTTTCAGTCTCAAAAACTGGTCAGAGGATATTAATAGTCTTTGTTTCTTTAAATATGCCAGAAATCATACAAGATCAACGGACACTTCATCCCTTTCCTACTTAATCTCTCTAACTGGTAACAGTTGCTCACAAAGATGAGAAGTTTCACAAATATACCGCAAAAACAGAAACAAGAGTTCCCAAATTATATCAATGAAAGGGGAAAGAAACACAAATACCAAAATGGCCAACCTATGTTGTCTAAACCTCAATATGCCAAAATGAAATGTGGCTCCATCATAAGTGCCTTATAATAGTGCCAACTTCACCATGGACAAACAAGAAAACACCAAATAAAGGTTGGTTCATACCCAAATAGCACCCTTAGGAAATAGGGGAGAACATAGGATTCAGAAATTTCACCTGCAAGGACCGACAAACCATATCCATCTCTGAATCAAAGTTGGCCTTTTCTGTCATAGTGACAAGCTCCAGAACTGCACAGCATGGAACATCCTGGCTATCACTTTCAAAAACAGGAAGAGCAATGGAACCACGGACATTATGATCCAGAGCATGTTGCACCCGCAAATACTCAGCTTCATTGTAGTACAACACATTGGATGTCCACTCTGGAACCCTGGATGCAAATACACGGCCAGGAAGCCCCAGAAACGAACCTGACTTCATATCTGCCGCAAAAGTGAATGCCCTGGACACTTCACGATACCCTGACAGTGCTTGATCAAGTAAATAAGGCTGTGCACAAGTGCTTAAGATTTCTCTGTTGCCATCCTTCATTGGAATCCAAACCTGAGCCAAAATGCCCTCTCCAGCAGATTCCTTAAACAAAGACAATGCTTTTAGCATCCTCTCTGCTAGTGTCAAAGATGGCGGCCTTGAAATCAAGATATTCGGAACATCTACAGTTAAATTATGCTGGCTAGAGCTCTTACTTTTCCGAGCAATGGATTCAACTTCAGCTGAATCTATAGGAACATGAAACTGGCTGTCTAGCTCTTGACACATCATTCTATCATCCCCATCCAAAGAATTTCCCCCGGCCTCAGTGTCTGCCAAAGGAAAACCCCCTGCACTGTGTTCTCCAAAACTCAAAGCATCAAAAGGCCCATAGCTCGAATTAATGGGAGAATACGCAAAAGAGCCAAACATCTGATCCGTTGCATTGGGACTATTGCACCACCCAGGTTGTGAGTCAAAACTCATTAACTCTTGAAATGAATCCTCCAGTCCAGCAGCCCTTGTTCCATAATCAAATGTTACCCCACCATCAATCTGAGCCCTAGGTGATGCCCAAAAACAACCCCCCTTTTCTTTAGATGAACAAGGGAAATCCATTACCCTACAATATTCAACCAACCCAAAAGAGACTGAAAAGAAAAAGGGAACTCCTGAATTCGTAGTACTTCAGTAATTGTTAGAGAACCTTCAAGTTCCTTAAACTAATACCGGTGTCCCTAAAATCTTCCCCAGGCTGAACACCATAAACACAATTCTTCAACTTCAAAACCATCTAGATTTACCCCCCTTCTTAACTTCAAATTTCAGCTCACAAACCACCAAAATATCACCAATTGAAGCTCTTTTCAACAAACCCTGAAAATAAAACAATAAATTAAGGATTGGGGGAAACACATAAGTAGTTGTGTGGTTGATTTCCTTGTTAAGTGCGGCACAAGAACAAAGTGCAACTTGAAGTACTTACAATTGGGGCTCAGAAATTGCCAAGCTTCTTGCCCAACCCGCCAGAATAAGGTATGGAACCTCCAAAGATAAGCCCAAAAAGATATGAATTAACTATACTTCCACAGACAACCCTTTGATTAGTTCCCAAAAGGGGTCTTCACAAAACTCCAAACGCAACCAAACAATCCACAAATCAATGCAAATCCCACTTTTTTCTAGTTCATGAACAAAAATCCCCCCCCAGAACTCATATAATCATGTCCAGATTACTCAAAACAAAAAGATTCAAAACTGACCCCAAAAAATAATAATAATAAAAGACCCACGCACATACATACAACTGACAATGGAAACCCAAAAAATGGAATCTTTCCCAAATTATCACTGGTGGTAGTTATGTGTGGAAAGGACCCCAAATCGCTGTAAAACTTCCCGTTCAAGAAGACTGCAACTAAGGGAAAAGTGGTAAGTGGTGAAGGGAGTTGAAAATATAAAGAAAAACAAACAAAAGGGCGTTCTTGAAACAACGCAAAATTGCGGCTGAATGATTCTCAGTTTTGGAATGGAGCGGAGTTTAATATGGTCTGAAAATTTGGGGGAAAATATTAATTGAATGGGGAAATAAATAGCTGGCCAGGATTGCGGTTATTTTATTTCTTTTTTTATCAATCAGCTCCTAAAAATAGAAAGTTCGAAGCAAATGCAGGTTCCAGAATTATCAAAATACAAAATGGGATTAAATTCTGTCAAAGTTGGTGAGTTATTTGTTTAATCAATCAGAGTTATGGACTTATGGTACATTTTATCCAAAAAGGAAAAAATGGTAGTTTGTACTTTGTATTGAGTTGTGAAATTCTTAAGGAAAACTTTTTAAGAAAAATTGGATTATTTGTTTAATCAATTAGAGTTATGGTACTCCCTCCGTCCCATAATTATTATCCAGTTTGGGTTTTCATTTCTAATTCAAATTGTACTAAAAGTGAAATCTTAAATTGGACAATAATTTTGGGACAGAAGGAGTACATTTTATCCAGGAAAAAAAAAAGAACAAAAGGAAACTAGAATTAAGTGTATTATAGAAACATTAGGTTTCAGTTTCATTATGACCATTCACTGTAATGGCTAAATACCCTAATACATCACACAAGTATGGAGTAATCACTTGTGCTTATTCATTTGTTCCAGAAAAATACACCATTAAAAAGCGAAACTATCATTTCAGCACATGAGTGTAAAATATAACAAAGAGAATTTACGTCTTCATACATGTATCTCATTCATCGACCATCATTAAGTCATCAACGGTTTTAAGTGTTAGTATGTTGCTACAAAATACTTTTCCGAACTATGTAACACACACTGTTATTTTCATATTCTCCTCCAGAATCAAATACCATCTCATTGGGCAAGACAACAAAAAAGATCTGTAAATCTACTGATAAAGTTATTACTTTTCCTTAACGAACATGTAATATGAATAGGTAGCTATTGGGCAACTGAATGTACTCTGCTTTTTCACCAATAACGTAATTAAGTTCGTATGAGATAGGGGCAAAAAAATGCAGCTTACATATGATAAAGCACTAGATTTGATTGGAGAGGACTTGTATATTCTTCGTTGTTTCAAAGTGAAAATAAAATGATTCATTGCGATCTGCTTAGTTTATTACTATGAAGAGTAACTAACAGCCTCCACCCAAGGTTTGATAGCTAAAGATAAGTGATTTTTGCCTTTCTTGTGCATTAAGTAATCTTTATGCGTTATATGATGATCTATATTATTGAACAACCAACAATTTATATATATTTTTTTTGGTCTTAAATACTGCATTTATACTTTTCATGTAGTATATATAATATATTTAATAATCAATCTAAGATGAGAAATATCCCAGCTAAGAACCGTCTTGATTATTAAAAAAATGTAAACCAAGATGCTCAAAAATTCAATCCATTCACAAGTTGCTGATCATTTATTACGAAAAAATAAGAAGGGGTAATGTACTGTAGTTATTCAATTTAGTAGGGAACTTATCTCTAAGTAGTAAGGTTTTTGGAGGAGCTTTTTGCAATTACTCTCGACGTGCGGTGGAGGAATGAAGGGAACAAAATTTTCTTTTTTCTTTAGTGGTTAGGCTTCTCTGCTGTCCTTTTCAAATTTAACGAGTTCCTTTTTTCTTTTGTCCTTTTTTTTTTTAATATTGTGGTTTAAATTGGATTTAGAAACTCATCAAATCTTTTTCTTTTTCCCTTTTTTTAAGATATTGAACTGATATTTTCAGATATCAACTTACACCCATGTCTCATGCATGGATTGATTGTTGATTTCTTTTGAAACAATTTCTGTATTACTTTTCTACAAATTACCAAATTACAATTCAATGCATGTTCAGTAGCAATTTTTTTTTTTGCTTCCCAAGAAAAAAAAAAGGCGCAGTATATTATTGTCATTGGGTGATGATATAATTCCCCCCGGTTTATTGGAGATGTGACTTTTCTTTTATTGTTTTACAGGCATAATGGTTAATTAGTAGTTTGATTAGTATACCAAAAAAAAAAAAAAAATTTGTAGTTTGATTTACTGAAGCTCTCGTATCAAAGTATTGCCGCCTTTATACAATACCAAGATACCAAGAAGTTCGTAATCAAGAATTTCAATACAGGACCGTTTGAATACGACCTAAAATACATTAGTGTATTTGATATTAATTTTCAACATTTTCACTAAAAATATTAAGAATCATTAGAGTTTAATAGAATCATTTTGAATAGGCAATACAACCTCCTCTATAATACGGAAAATTCAATGTACCAGTTTGATTTTAGGCATTTTTTTCGCCTCTTCTTTTGTAAAAAAAAAAGAAGGGAATTCGTAAAGTCAAGAATAGCTACACAAGTTCTTTATAACACTTTAAGTGTGGCACTAGTTAAAAAAATAAAAAATAACACGGTTCATAACAATTAATACCAACACCCTAACCAAAATAAGTGAACCTATTTAGATAACGTGGCAATAATATACGTTAAGTAATAGTGTCATACCGAACGTCACACAAAAATACCAGTTTGATTGTTGCAGTGTTAATTAAGCATATACCTAGACTTCATGTCAAGTTGCAGAAGACTTTAAACCGAGAGCTTGATCAGGGTTTACTGCCCGACGCCATTTATCAGAAGGTTTCGTGAGGATTTCCCAGACTCCTGCTCCTCTGATTTGTTGTCCTGTTCATTTGTATGCTGTATGCTCCGTCCCAACAGTTTTGACCACAAACCGCCACAAGAATTCAGCTCCGTGACGCATGAATTGACCCCAGAACTGTGGTGTTTGTTTTAAGGGTATTGGGATTCAGCGTGATTAATACTCCTATATTTCATGTTTGTCTTAAAATAATCGTCCAATTATATTAAAAGTGAAAATTTAGATCGATGAAATATATGAATTTAGGGGAAATTGGAATAAAAGGATTGAGATATTCTAAAGCCATGCTCCTCTAGCATCATCGATCCACATCTTAAATAACATTTAGGTCTATTTGTTCTACCAACCAAAATCATAGATATTTGGTCTGTGAACTCGAAAAAATATATTTCCTCCATCGTTCCTATAAAAAAAAAGAAAGAGAAAAGGAGGGTAAATTTATTTGAAACTGACTTATACAAATAAACAGAATGCTAATTTTAGGATGAAAGCATTAATAGTTTTGAAATTTGATATAAGCGCATATTTTAACTTCGCCCACCACTTAATTAATGGAAAAGCCTGATTATTTTACACGTAAAAATCAAGATAAACTATATGTTCATAGATTGGATGGAAAGTGTGTTATTAATAATAGAATGTAAACAATATTTATAAAAGTCCAACCCAAAACGTTATACATACCACTTTTGCTTATGCGTTCCCTCTGCTCGTCCTTTAAGTAGGTCTCACTTTTGAGATTATGAATGGAAAAACTACATGTTTAGAAATATCAATTGCTTTTTTTCCTCCCCCGAAGTAGCCTAGATCGAATATACATTATTCTGATCGTGATATAGATAGACAGTGTTATAACTCATGCACTAGAAAAAATATAAAAAGAAGTCGTATATTCTTTCACAAAAATAATTTACATTGTAATTTGTGAATTGTATTAAACTTGTAAGATTAATTATATTTTTCTAGGACGGAAAGTGTTTTATTTGGTCTAAGAATAATATTGGGGTAACATCACCATTGGCGCCATCAGTACGAAACTGTGACAATCTTGGATCACTCGATTAAAGTTGGCTTTTGCATGATTAGGTTGCTAGCTGAGATTCTATCATGAATGACGTATATGAGATTCAATATTTACCGTACAATTAAGAAGTCAAAGTAAGCATAATAGCATATACTAGAAAAGGACTTGATAGATAGTAACATCTTTAATGTTGGTAAAGTACTCACGTCTCTTACTTAATTATCAACTTAAGAACGAAAACGAAATTTAACTCTTGCTTTGAAAAGCAATACTTATATTAGGGAACTTTGAAAAAAAAGTTGCACTTGCTCTTAGTTCTGTCTTAGACATATATTAGTGATTAAAATACTTTTTAAGAGTTTTTTTTTTTTTTTTCCGCACTCTGGGAGTTTTAAGCATGCGCCATTCCCGCTAAATCTTAACATAGTA